GGGCCTACTGGGCTCCCAAAGGAGTGGGAATTTAAGGGTGAGGCAAGCAAGGGTGGGACCTGCCACCAAAATCTGGGGCACAGAACCCCATTGAGGCCACAGGGCAAAAAGGACAAGTGAAGTTTTTATTAACCCCCACACCACTGCCACTCACCCCACCACTGCCGCCATCCAGTCCACAAGGTGGTCTACAGTCTGGATCTGGCCAAGGGGATAGGGTAAGTTTGACACCTCTGGTCAAGTAGTTAAGACCCAAAATGAAGGAGTCCTGAATTCTGAATCATTTTTAAACTGGTCAGGGTTCAAATCCATATAGCCTTTGCCTTTGCAGGGTACTCTAACCACCAGACAAGAGGCAAAGTTTGTGTGGTGCTGGGGAGGGGAGAGAAGAAGGGAATCAGGGGGAAACTCTTCATCCCTCCAATTGAAGTTGGAGCCTGTACAGCAAAAACTGCAAGATTCATGGGGCCAGAAGAAAGAGGAAACAATGAGAAGCAGAAATGTTGCTCCAGTGATGAGGGCATTCACCTAGAACAGAGGAGGCTTATTACTGCTCCCAATAAAGTTTCTGTATTTTATTCAGTGATTCTCTAGTGAAGCATTCCTAAGTCCTACTCTGTTATTTGCTCTCTAATTCCATGCAACTTGCCTTCCTGACTACATAGTTGCCCAGCTTCAATAGGTGGGATAGAGAATATCCTCACCCACATTAACCAATAGCCTGATGGTCAGGGCACTCTTGCAAGAGATGTTGAGGAGAGCTGCAGAATCTATAGGCAAGGAGTTTTTATCCCATTTTTAAGGGTGGGGGCTTTACTACCATTCAACTGAATTCTTGAGATCTGTATCGTCTGTCCACTCTATCTTGTGGTAACCAAAATTTAAACCATGTAAAGTTATTGTGGTTTATCTTGACTTACTGCGGAGAAGGGAGATGCAATAATTACAATGGATCCTCTGATTCAGGATCATTCTTAGTAAGATCCACACTGAAAGGTGGGAGTGGATGATCTGATCACTAGGCCACCATAATATGGTGAGCATTTCTTTCAGCAATGTTTTAAAAAGAAAGAGTGAGCCCGTTGCCTATGTCAAAAAATATGGCTTAGGTTCACAAGAGATGCCAGGTTGTGAATCCAAATATCACATAGACACCTTACCCAGAGTTGTGCCTAGCTATGGAGAGGTGGGATTTCAGATACAATCCTCTTTACTGTTTCAGTGTGGCTGGCTCAACACCCCCAGCTCAGTCTGCTGCTTATTTTGAATCTCATTCATAGGCTTGTAACCATCTCTTTGAATTACATTGAGAACCTATGTATTGAACCTGAGTTTGTGAATTCCAGTCTGCAATTTAGACAGTTGATATTTTTAGATGTTAGGGACATTCATTGTCACCATGCCTCACTATATATGTGGGGCAATAGTCCCTAATACCTAACAATGTAAAATGTTTACTAAGCAAAAAGGAAAAGAAAAAAACAACCCATTTCTCATACAAGAAAGGTCTAGTGATCACTTCTGTATGTTGAAGACTACCAACTTCAAAACTCAGTAAAATAAGATGAAAAGGGAGATTTCCAGCATACTCTTTTAAGTTCCTATAAATATTTGGGCTGTTTTCCTTGTAAAGCACCAGAAGATATATTGGAGAGCTCAATTATGCATCAGATGTTCTTATAGGTCTTATCAAAATGCAAGTGTAAACATTAAGGAAAAAAAGCAACACCATATATTTCATATGCAATTAAAACTGCCCCAAACTGTGGTTTAATTTCCTGACTGGTTATTATTATATCAGGGGAATATCCAAATAATATGATACATTGTTCTTAAAATCTAAGATTCACTGTTTATTAAAGAGGGCTTTCAGCTTCCTTTTATTTATTTTTATAAACAAACAGATTTGTATATTTAACAAAGGAGGCAAAATATTATATTTCAGGAAAAAGAAAACTTAAAGACAAGGGGGAGTTACAGAGTAAGCAACTGTGTGCAAATTTCTTTCATGTAGCTTATTTCTTGCAGCAAATTGATGGGGACTGATATTCTTGTTGAATAAGAATTCAGCACAAACTCAAGACCTTGGCTACATGATTAGTCTAATTGTAGGCAGAAGAGGGGCATTTTGTAATACTCCCATTGGAGTACTGTATGAAATAATTTACTTAAGGAGCAACTGATGCCTTCTGGAAAACTTTGAAAAATGCTGTAGTTAGGAGCACTTAGTCTGTGTGTCACATAGCTTCTGTTTTTTATTCTATCATTTTATTATTAGAGACAAGAAAATATTGCATTTGCATGAAAATATATTTGCTCCTTAAGAATTCATCTATCACTCACCTAAGATCATAATCCTGTCTTAGTGTCATCATAATCATTCCTACAACAACCCACTGTAATGTCACAAGCAGGCAATTTCAATTTTTGATGGGGAAAAAAAAAATGAGGAGCAAATGAACACATAATAAACAGGAAATTGCCTCTATCTAAATGTTCCTAAAATGGCAGGACAGAGACTGAGTGTTCAAGAAGTTAGACTTGGATTTGGTAAACCCATGTTCAATTTCCTGATTCACCACAGTTACATGGGCAACTCCAAGCACCAATATGGCTCTGCTCCCCATCTGTATAAAGAAGTTAATAGTATTTCTCCATCTCACTGAGATGTTGTAAATATATATATACTTTTAACAAGGTGAGATATTCATATGATAGGGCAAAGGAAACAATATATCATAGTATCATAGTACTTAGGGTCGGAAGGGACCTAAACAGTTCTGACCCCCTGCCCCAGGCAGGAATGGGTGCCAGGATCATATCACCTCAGCCAAATATCAGTCCAGCCTCATCTTGAAGACCCCCAAAGTAGGAGAGAGTAACACCTCACTTGGGAGCTTGGCATAGATACATATGATAGATACAGCACACACACTTCTTAAATTTTAAAAAGGGGAACAAAGGTTCTCGTTGAGATAGATGTTGAATGACCAGCATGAATAGACTCTATATCAGTCAGCCTTGACTTTGGCATAGAGTAATATATTCTTGCACAGTTTGTGTGGGGGAATTTTGGGTGGAAAATTGTCACCTATCCGAAAGAGTAGGGGTGACATCCTATTCTTCCCTGTTCATCTAAGTGGCCATTTCTTTGGTCATCAACATGATATTTTCAGCACTTAAGTATCCAGAGGGACTCTGTTCCTGGACACACAGCCCTCTACGCATGGATGACAGCATATGCGTGCAAACCTGTCATGTGCATTGACAACAAAATGGGTAAGGCGTGAGATGCTTCCCCCAACAGCTGAGTGGCTAGGATACCCACCTGGGAAATGAGTAGACCTGAGTTTTATTCCCCTCTCTTCCACAAAGAATTTGAACCTAGATATTTTTAACTTACCAGCATATATAACAATCACACCACAGGTCAGACACTATCAAGGCCTTCTTCAAAAGCTGAGCCATTAATGTAGTCATTGGGAAATGTCGGGGAACAGTGGCCCCAAGGTCACGGTGGGCCAAGGGTTCGGATCGGATCGAACAGGCGGGATTAGCGGCGAGGAGTCTGAGCAGTATGGGACTCGGTGCGGTTTCAAGTAAAGTAGATTTATTTTTGACTTACACTACTGGAGAAGCTTGCTTCAGTTACAGTATATGAACAACGAAGGGGTCTGTTGGTCCACGGGGTTCCCGAGTGAGCCCTTGCTTTCTACCCCGAAGGATAGATGCGGCTACCCACTCGATAGTCCCAGGACTGGTCAACAGCTTATTGATTGGGATGACAAACAACGGAACTGTAACACGGTGAACGATGTAAACGACGTGACGCCAGTCCAACTTGGACAAAAAA